GAATTTTATCAGGTCAGGTCATAAGCTTGACCCGACCTGATGTTGACCTGAAAATTTGTCTACCCAACCTGGATTTTTCAGGTCGGGTCGGGTCGGGTCACAGGTTGACCCGGAGCTCTAGGTGATATTTATGTGGGCTTGCTTTGAAAAACAGAAAAAATATATATTTTAGAGCATCTTACTATATCTGATGACATAAATTTACTAGTACTATCTACACGTCACTTTTACTCGAATGCTGTTACTACAAGACTCAATCTCAAATCATATTATGATATTGATGGTAATATAAATCTTCCTGATCACAAAAGAGTTGTATATCAGATAGAGAGCTTACATTGTATTACTAATAATTGTAAATGTGATAAAAAATGCAAATGTCTTCCAATCTAATATGACTTATAACTTGATGAAATAGTATCTATAATTGCTCAAGTACAAAGTCGTTTAGCAGAACAATCAATAGAGAAATTATATAAATTAATCCAAGAGGCTAGAAGTATTATTGTCATAGATAATAACCTTACTGATCTTAATATTAAATAGATTAAAACCTTTTGTAAAGATATACCTTTCTCTATTATTCATAATTTTTACCAGTTTTAGAAAAGCAAGATGTTCCGCTTAGCTTATAATAAAGAAACAGTATTAGCTAAACTTTGGGACTGGGTTAAGAAAATGTTTTCACTACCTTTTGAATCTTGGAAAAGTGCTTTATTTATTTGTCATCTCAGAAAAGATATACAAGGGATTATTCGTGTTCTTAAAACTGATTTTCCAGAATTGCGAATCAAGAAATATTATGGCAAATCTGATTCAGTAGAAAGGCTCAAGATTTTAGCAATGTAGAAGAATCATAAAAAGACTTAGATCTAATTACCTATACTAGCATTCTAAAAATAGAAGTATTATGTACCAATCCTAAGTTTGAGTGGGTTTTCTGTCTTTTTAATAGCTATATAGAAACAAACACAGGAATGAATCAAATGTTATTTCGCATGTGATACATTAAAGATTATATATGTTACATTGAACAAAGATCATCTAATGCTCTCATTACAGAAGAAGGTTATTTTGATAGTTGTTGAATACCAAACGTGAATGAACTTCAGAACAAAAGAATATATGTTCTATCATCAGAAACAAGAATGTACTAACTGTTCGATTATGGGTAGCATATATGTTAGAGGTAAGTTTATCTATTATTAAAGCGGAGGAGATAGCAGATGTTTCTAATGCTACTATTATCAATCGTGAGACTGCTGAATTTTTAGAGAATAAACCAAAGAAGACTTTAGAAGAGATGCAGTCTCTGGACTGGAATCATATTGTGGATTTCTATGAAATTTTGCCTGAATCATTAACTGAAGATTTCATCTTGAAATATGGAAATTTTAATCATATAAAATGGTTTAGAGCTTATAGGCAATTATGAGATACTGGCACTGATAATATAACAGCTGTTGAGGCTATTACTTGTAAATATTACAGAGAGGATAGACTCACAATCATAACCTGAGTTAAGAGACATAGTATCTGCTTAAAATTGTTAAAAAATTGTACACCTGTTAAAGACATTGACGTTAAAGAACGATATAAAACTAATGATGTCAAAACATGCATGGAATTTCTTGGATCAATATCATATCTCCAGGGTTTAGTACCTAAAATAGCTCAAATATTTGATAATACAGATGCATTGCACAGAGCTAAAAAATCAGGATTAAAAACAGTTCAAGCGAAACTTGGTTTACTAAATTCTGCCTTTTACGTAACATATGGGTTGAAACTTAAAGCTATTAATAAGAAAAACTCCTATTATCATTTAGTTAGCTGATTTGATAATAAAGATGCTCCCAAGCTTCCTTTATACCAAATAGAGAAAGAAATATATTGGGAAAATAGCAAAGATATCTGATATGCTTATAGTAAACTCACTTCTGATGAATTATTATTAAATAATCTTTTTAGTTCTAACAAAGTGAATACCACGCAAATCACAGAAGATATTCAGAATTTATTTGATATCTGTTAATATACACTACCTGGAAATAAGTTTGCGCGATTTTTTAAAAAAAAAGTTTATTATTTTTTTTTCTAACAAAAAATAGTTTATTATCGTTTTTTCTAACAAAATACTAGTACCTGGTTGGGCATCTATTATTGGCAATACATGCTTCTATTCTTTGAGGCATACTATCAATTAATTTTAGATAAGTTTCTTGCAGAATTTTTTTCCACTCTTCTTTTAGTTGCACTTCTAAATTCGCAAGATTTTTAGGTAGATCTGAATGGTTACACAATGAACGTTCAAGATGATCCCAAAGATGCTCAATGGGATTTAAATCCGGAGATTGAGCAGGCCAATTAATTAGCATTTTAATTT